ACACACACACACACACACACACACCACACACACACACACACACACAACACACACGAGTGTGTGCTTGCGTGCGTGTGGGTGTGCGAGACTGGCCTCCATGACGGGCCCATTAGAGCAACCAGGATACAGAGAAGGAAATCCTTTACCAGGATGCATTAAAGTAATGTTCCAGCTGAACCCCTCTTTACTCACGACCCCCTACTCCCCCCTCTCCCTCCCTCCCCCCCCCTCTCCCTCTCCTCTCTCTCTCTCTCTCTCTCTCTCCTCCTCTCTCTCTCTCTCTCTCTCTCATCTCTCTCTCTCTCTCTCTCTCTCTCTCTCTCTCTCTCTCCCATCAGCCAAGGCTTCCACTGAGTGAACCTACACAATTCAGCCAGCAGGTAGCTGCCACACCCGTATGCTCTTAAAATTACAGGACTGAGCAAAGGGGAAAAACCAGTCGTGGGGTGGGCAGGGAGCGAGGCTCAAGGCGGTCACAGGTAAGGATGGTATGAGAGACACACGTAAAACAGGGGTGAGGGGCCCTCCTGTGTGTGTGTGTGTGTGGAGGTGTGGGTGAGAGGCAGCGCTAGTTGAATGGGACGAGGTTCATTCATGAAGGCGAGAGTAGTAGTAGTAGTAGTAGTGTTAGTAGTAAACATCGTGTGCTATGCTAAAGAGCTCTGCTCTTTCGGCCCGCCTCTCAACTGTCAATCAACTGTTTACTAACGACTTTTCTTCCATACCACACACACACACACACACACCAGGAAGCAGCCCGTAACAGCTGACTAACTCCCAGGTACCTATTTACTGCTAGGTAACAGGGGGGCATTCAGGGTGAAAGAAACTCTGCCCATTGTTTCTCGCCGGGAATCGAACCCGGGACCACAGGATTACGTGTCCAGGGTCTGTGTGTGCACGTGTGTGTGTGTGTGTGTGTGTGTGTATGTGTGTGTGTGTGTGTGTGTGTGTGTGTGTGTGTGTGTGTGTGTGTGTGTGCCAGAGACTCACCAATGGCTGCCAGGAGGTTCTTGTAGGTCACCCACTTGCTGTATTCCGTCGCCTTCCACCCCAGCACCCGGCGGGTGAACAGGTACATGTAGGCTCCTGTAGGATACAAGGGAAACACAGCATAAATACAGGATAGATACAGGGGTCAATACAGTCGTTAGTAACAGACAGACCAACACGAGAATAGTTGCCGAAGAAGAGCATAATATTCTTTACAGAAGAAGACGACAAATAGTTTTTTAAAAGCGACATCACACAAAATAGATTTTAAGGTCTTTTGCATTGTGGGTAGAGAGGGAGGGGGGGGGGAATGAGGGAAGGGGGAGAGAGAGAAGAGGGAGAGAGGGAAAGAAAGGAAGTAGGGATGGACCGATGAAGAGAGGACGAAGTAACACAAAAACAAGAGAGAGAGAGAGAGAGAGAGAGAGAGAGAGAGAGAGAGAGAGAGAGAGAGAGAGAGAGAGAGAGAGAGAGAGAGAGAGAGAGAGAGAGAGAGAGAGAGAGAGAGAGAGAGAGACAGAGAGAGAGAGAAGACAGAAGTAGGGTATGAAATCTGTTAAAATAAATTTGCTAACATTTACGTTGTCTAAATTATATTTGTTTACATTACGTCTAGCTTAACACGGGAGATGCGAGGTGTTTTAGTGGTGAGAGGAGCAGGTAGAGTAGCCAGGCCAGATGGTATGTGTAAGACAGGCTCCTCACAGCCGGTCCCTCGAGTCCCAGACCTTCCAGGAAGCTAGTGTGAGCTTCCAGGAGGGAAATGATAGATTCCAGGACGGATCTAGTGAGCTTCCAGGACGGAACTGGTGTAAGACCATCAACTGGAAACACTGGAGTTGCCATTCTACTTGAAGATGTTGTTGTGGCAGAGCCAGTATGAACTCTGTACCACTGGAACATGTGTCATAACGATGGCAGAGTGACACAGCCACAGCTCTTTGTCATATATGATGCAGGATTCCAGTCGCTTCTTTTCCTCTATTGGTGTGTTTTAACTCTATCCCACCATCCCCACACCCTCTCACACACGCGGTCCCACACCTATTCCACACCATCCTGCTCCTCTTCCACACCACCCACAAGGCTCCAGAGTGTGTCTCAAGGTCTGGCCCTGAACATCACATTCATGTAGAAGTGTCTTAAGAAGGTGGAGGCGCTGTCCTCTCTAGAAACGTCACAAATGCTAGCTGCTCTTCCCCAGGCAGGACGGTAGAGCAACGGTCTCGCTTCATGGAGGTCGGCGTTCAATCCCCGACCGTCCAAGTGGTTAGGCACCATTCCTAACCATCCGTCCCATCCCAAATCCGTACCCTAACCCTCTTCCAAGTGCTAGATAGTCGTAATGGCTTGGTGCTATCTCCCCCCTGATAGTTCCCTTAGTTCTTCTCCAGCACCGGACTGTATCATCTACATCTACCACTACATCTACCACTACTTCTACCCGTGACACCACCATCTACGACTCCCACGTCACCATCATCACCACTAACGCTACGGGTGTTGCCTCCGTCCTTGTGTACTGTTACTTGAAGAGGAGGTGGGGGGTTGGGGGGTGGTGGGAGGGGAGCTAAGACTGTGAGGGGGGACAGGAGGATGGGTGAGGGTAGGGGGGGTAATGGGGGAATATAGGGGGGATCGGGGATGGAAGCTCTGCCTGCCTCCCCTTGCACCACACATACTCCAGTGATGGATGAGTCACAAGCATGAGTGAAAGAGCGTGTATTTATTATATGTGTTTGGAGGAAGAACCTGCAGTTTCTTATCATACCTACTAGTTAAAACTATGTCTGGAGTTAACCTCTGTTACTTTCCTTTTACCTCATGCCACTTGCTCGCTGCTCTTACACTTAAGAGTGAGTTTCTTACACTTAAGAGTGAGTTTCTTACACTTAAGAGTGACTTTCTTGAGTCCTTATGGCGCCTCTGATCGTCACGTTTATAAACGAGATTTTGTAAAATCTCTTGTATATATGTACCTTACCTGAATATACATTTATTTATTTATTATTTAAAAACATGCCCTCTTGTCATGATCCATGCTAAACATATCATTTTTTGTCCACTTTCTCAATGCCTTTAGGAATCTAGTATGTCGTAAACATGTTACCTCCTACTCTTCAGGAACAAATGTGCTGTAGTAAGGCATCATTTAGCTCTATTCTTGTGCTTTATTTTTAGGTGAAAGAGAATACACAGGGAGCTACATAGTAAGGTAAGGGCATCATCAGGAGAAAGAGCTGTTTGAGTGTGTTCATGTATGAGTGTGAATGTGGAGTATGAGTGTTTAAATATACATTATGTATGTTATAAATATGCTGGAAAAATTATTTGAGTAACTCAAATAATTTCCTCTCCTAAATATTTCGACTACAGAAAACCAAAGTAAAGATATCACCCAATAACCATTAAAAGCTACATTTACCTGTCAGGTGTACATACTATATGGGTGTGTGTGTGTGTGTGTGTGTGTGTGAGAGTGAGAGAGAGAGAGAGAGAGAGAGAGAGAGAGAGAGAGAGAGAGAGAGAGAGAGAGAGAGAGAGAGAGAGAGAGAGAGAGAGAGAGAGAGAGAGAGAGAGAGAGAGAGAGAGAGAGAGAGAGAGAGAGAGGCAGAGACAGACAGAGAACTGGTCCGAGGACCTTGGCAGTGTGATAGGGTAACCATCTATACTGTCACTGATCTAGCAGAGTGGTCGAGGTGGACAATAACTGAGGCAGCAGCTATAGCCCCGCTGACCTTGTGTTCACCACACAACCTCACCTCCCTCCACGCACTCTCACCATTAACCACACGAGTGAGCAGAATTTTAAAGTCCAAATGAATGATCAACAAAAAAAAGTACAAAATGATGACAAGTTTCTCCTCAAAAAACTGTAATGATTACCCACTCACACTGTTACTAGGCTGAAGGTAATGGTTCAGTGATTAATGTTAACGATACAAATGGCGCGTTCTCGCTACGTTATTAAAGATAATTGAACGCCTTTGTGTTTGTGCCCAATGAGGCTGCCTAAGGCAGGTAGAATGGTAGGCAAGAACACCGAGGTAATGTGTGTGGGCAATGCAAGCATTGTTAATGTATTCTGGGCCGGTTCCTGCCCGTCATCACACTCTAGGTACCGAGCTAGACTAAGGCAACCTCGGCCCCTCGACCGTCTCTGTCACTGGAAATTTCCATACTCTCAACTCTTCAACGACCGGATTGCTTAACAAACATCGAGAGAAAAGAAAGTTTTTTCACTTACCACGACCGAGTCGACGAAGTAGATTACACAGGATAAGGAGAAGGATGAAGGCTCGTACGAGCCCTCCTCTAGCCTTGAAGGTACAGCGGAACGAGTCCACTATTCGCTCGTAGTTGAAGAAATCAATGATCATCTTCCACAGGGATATCTTAGTGGTTGACCCCGCCACCTCACTCGGTCTCTTGAGTGATATCGTGACGCAGGACTTGGCGCCACTCTGCTCCTCCTGCTTCTCCGAGGACTTGGACTTGACGAAGGGCCCGTGACTCTCAGGCAGGAAGAATAGGTAGGTGAGGGAGACGCAGTGCATGAGCAGCGAAGTGCCGAAGAGCGCCTGGTAGCCTCCGAAGTTCTTAATGTAATAACCAACGAGGGTACCGATGGGTCCACCCAGGTACCAGATGCTGTTGGCGAGACCCACCCGCATGGTTCTGGACTCTTCGGAGGTGACGTCGCTGAGGTAAGCGTTGGCAGCAGTGAGGAAGGAGACGGTGCCGCCACCAAGGGAATCGAACAATGCGGCCACAAGCAGGAACTCGACCGGCCACTCCACGACCCAAGAGTTGAGCAGGTACCCGCCTGCCCAGCAGAAGTGCCCCAGGGTAGCGATGTAGAGCGGCACCTTCCTGCCGTACTTGTCGCTCCAAGCACCCATAAACAGGATAAAAAAGAAGGGGATGAAGGACATGATGATCCCATTATACATCCCGAAGATACTCAAAGACTTCTGCACCAGGATATTTTCCTCCTGATGGCGGGAAAGATTCGCACACACCTCCGCTGTGAAGTTGAGATTCACGCGGCAGATCTTATCCAACTGGAGGTCTTCGACGAAGACGATCATGACGGAGTAGGCGAGGCCGTCGAGGAGCATGACTGGCTCCACCGCCAAGAGGGAGAAGATGGCGCGAAGCTTGAGCCAGAGTGCCAGGGCCGTCGCGGGGGGTGCCAACGACCGCTCCTGAAGGGCCTCCTCGCCCACCTTCCTCTCCGGTAATCCCACACATTTGATCCGTCTCTGATGGAAGATAAACATGTGTGTGTGACTTTTCCAGTTTGGTACCTGCTAATTATTAATAATTATAAGTATATACATTACGATAGGGAGAGAGACTGTGCTTGGAAGACAGTCACTGGGGTTTGTAAACACCGAGAAGCAGACACCGTAACTGTGAGTGGTGAGGGTGTGAGGTGAGGCGTCACTCACCACAAGCCTCACTATACACAGCTTGGCGCCTCCGCAGGGCTCTGGAGCTGTTATATCACCCCCCCCCCCAGCTCACACTTGAGGCTACGAGTCCCTCCAACATACTTGAGGTTACGAGTCCCTCCAACGCACACTTGAGGTTACGAGTCCCTCCAACGCACACTTGAGGTTACGAGTCCCTCCAACACACTTGAGGCTACGAGTCCCTCCAACACACTTGAGGTTACGAGTCCCTCCAACACACACTTGAGGTTACGAGTCCCTCCAACACACACTTGAGGCTACGAGTCCTCCAACACACACTTGAGGCTACGAGTCCTCCAACACACTTGAAGCTACGAGTCCTCCAACACACTTGAGGTTACGAGTCTCTCCAACACACACTTGAGCTACGAGTCCCTCCAACACACACACTTGAGGTTACGAGTCCCTCCAACACACACTTGAGGTTACGAGTCCCTCCAACACACACTTGAGGCTACGAGTCCCTCCAACACACACTTGAGGTTACGAGTCCCTCCAACACACACACTTGAGGTTATGAGTCCCTCTAACACACACTTGAGGCTACGAGTCCCTCCAACACACACTTGAGGCTACGAGTCCTCCAACACACACTTGAGGCTACGAGTCCCTCCAACACACACTTGAGGCTACGAGTCCCTCCAACACACACTTGAGGTTACGAGTCCTCCAACACACTTGAGGCTACGAGTCCTCCAACACACTTGAGGCTACGAGTCCTCCAACACACTTGAGGCTACGAGTCCCTCCAACACACTTGAAGTTACGAGTCCTCCAACACACTTGAGGCTACGAGTCCCTCCAACACACTTGAGGTTACGAGTCCCTCCAACACACTTGAGATTACGAGTCCTCCAACACACACTTGAAGCTATGAGTCCTCCAACACACACTTGAAGCTACGAGTCCTCCAACACACACTTGATGCTACGAGTCCCTCCAACACACTTGAGGCTACGAGTCCTCCAACACACACTTGAAGCTACGAGTCCTCCAACACACTTGAGGTTACGAGTCCCTCCAACATACATTTGAGGCTACGAGTCCCTCCAACACACACTTGAAGCTACGAGCTAAAAGTCACCCTCAAAAAATATTAATTAATTAATCAATTATTTTATGAGTATATAACTAAGTTAAATTAAATAATATGCAATTTCATCTACAAAAACTTATGATAAGTTTACGTTACGCGTCAATAATTAACTTCAAGTTTTCCATTAAGTTGAATCGTAAATATAAATAATTATGACTAAAGTAGGAGGGACATATATATATATATATATATATATATATATATATATATATATATATATATATATATATAATTGTCCTAAAAAGGTATTCATCATAGATCTTATATATTGGCATATATTTGCAAACAAAACATTGCATTAGAGGACATGTCCTGAAAATAGAAAACGGGTTAGTACGGAGAGAAGCGGAGACTCGTACAATAGCAGGAGGCTTCATGACTGGGCGGAGGCTGAGGGTGCTATGGTGATCCCGGGGTGCAGTTCTCTGCTTTAGTAAACCTTCTTCAGAGCGGCGCTGGTCTTTGTAACCTCGTGCCCGCCGCTGCGCAGCCTCCACTGCGCACCTCGCACCATATTTTCTTCCCTTGCTCCCTCTCTCTCTCTCTCACCAACCTGAGATCACTCCAAACTTCTTGGTGAAGCAACCAATAGCGGCACTGATGCCACATATTGGTACACTGTGACACCATGATTGTTGATCTTAGGAAGTGATTGGGAAGCTGCACAGGCCACGCTACTGACACAACAATGACAACTGTGCCTTGTCTTGGCAAACCAGCGCGCTCGCCCAGACGAAGAGGTAGAAAACGGGACCAATCAATAACGGTGACGGGCGCGCAAAAGAGCGAGTCGCGAGCCAATCCTGGCCGCGGACCACACCCCCGCTACACACTTCAAGTCCAAGGTCCTCCATTCCCCCGGCCACTCCTCACCTCCAGGTCCTGGCGGGAGTCAGCCCTCACAACCTTCTCCGGCTGCGGGAGGACACCACTAACTGGACTACTCCCCCAAGTTCCCGTTCTCTCCAGCTCCTCCCTGGCCACTGAAGCCGTCTTCACGAGACCCCTGCATGCTTCTTGCTGCGTCCTCGCCCAACGTCCTTCTATCGTGTCATTCATCCAGCCTATTACAACCTTAACCCTCAAATCCACCCCAACTCATTACCAACCCATTATTATCTCCGTCAACCAGTGATTGAAGTGAACGTTCGTAGATAGTGACAGTACAAAACAATGAGAAATATTATTTGCATTTAAATGAAGCTTAACATTATAATAATATCATAGATTTATATGTTGTTAATATCATTTCCACATCTGGTCAATGAACGAACCATCGGTACAAAGTCGACAGTCGAATACAAATTATACAAAGTGTCTTCAGCAAGACTGAGATGACTCTGAGAGCGTCGAGGGAATAAGACCTCGAGGTTAACCTTGAGGTAATATTATATCACTCGAGACGCTCAATGAACCTTGTTTATCAACAGATGTGGTCGATGTCGTGAGGTGTCAAGCGTAAACATCAGGGGCCAGATTCACGAAGACGTTACACAAGCACTTACGAACCTGTGCATCTTTTCTCAATCTTTGGCAGCTTTGTTTATAATATTAAACAGTTAATGAGCTCCGAAGCACCAGGAGGCTGTTTATAACAATAACAACAGTTGATTGGCAAGTTTTCATGCTTGTAAACTGTTTAATAAATGTAACCAAAGCCGTCAAAGATTGAGGAAAGATGTACACGTTCGTAAGTACTTGCGTAACTGCTTCATGAATCTAGCCCCCTGGTTGACAGTGAGCAGTGATATCAACAGTGATTTTCAGATGTGCCAAAAAGGGTATTAAGAGGCGTATCAGCTATAACTTTTGATGTCAGGGATCATTGGCGATGTCACCCAAGTTTGTCACACATACCAGCAAAAGGATGTCAGTAACGGTGCCAGCAGGTGTGAGCAGTGAAGTTGGTAACGTTGTCAAATGTCAAGGATAAATAATATGTATTTAGGTCAAAGACCCATTAAATCTCCATCTAACGGTGAATATCTGTCAGTCATTGACTCTATCTCTCTCTCTCTCTCTCTCTCTCTCTCTCTCTCTCTCTCTCTCTCTCGTCGCTCCCTCGTTAATGTTCATTTCGTCAGCTTGTAACTGTGGTTTGAAGAAGACTGCTTTAGTTGACATTTGTCTTTCAAAGCCGATTTTTCTTTCTTCTCTTCTTCCTCCATTCTCCCCCTCCTCTTTCTTCTCTTCTTCCTCCATTCTCCCCCTCCTCTTTCTCATATTCCCCCTCTTCCCTCTTCTTATCCCTGTATATCCATACTGTTATTATGTGTATTGCTCTATATATGGTTTTAAGCTGTTATTCTTGGATAAATTTCACGGGAGATTATCTGATGAGAATATGTCTTGGGGATATATCCTGACACGCGTCTGGGGGGGGGGGATATATCCTGACACGCGTCTGGGGGAGGGGAATATATCCTGTAATATGTCTGGTAATTAACATACCTGATATATATGTCCAGTGTGGGGGTATATTGTGATATATTGTAACACTTAATATGCCTTTCAAATTTGCAAGGAAACTATATTCCCATAATGAGTATACTGACGGGTATATCTCTGGCGTATACCTCTGTCCACGGGGGTAATATTTCCAGGGAGAATATGTCCAGGAGAATATGTCAATGAGAATATGTCCAGGGGGAATATATCTAGAAATGTGCCCAGAACAGTGAACATGTTGTTAGGAAGGAATATGACTATAACGAAAATGTCATATTATATATATATATATATATATATATATATATATATATATATATATATATATATATATATATATATACCTTTCAGTGAATATGTCCAGGAAGGGTATGTTCAGGATGGCAATACGAATGTCGAAGGGGGATATACTTGGGGGAAAATATATTGAAATCTATCTGATAGACTCATATATCCATTGTGAGCTTATGTGAATCCTGCAGTAAGTTGGCCAGGCCAGAGTGAATCTTCTAATTGACATGATTATTGTTGCACTCTGGAGGGAATAAAAGTGCAAATATGTGTAAGTGTACTAACTACGAACTCTCTCTACCACAGCTCTACCACAGTTGGCTAAAAGAGCTTTCTCTGTCATCGGTGTGGTGGTGGACCATCACCACTACCCTCCTATCCCCATGGTAGTTTGTGATCTCTACCCTTTCACCAAATATAACTTTGCATGACAAGTTTGAATCTTCAATATTGACATATATTAAGTCCTCTAAACATGTGCAAGTCTTCAGAAGTGACAACTTGTAGTAAATGTCACTCTTAACATGGTTGACCATGCGTATATATTTATATATATATTGCTCACTTTCTCCAAGCCGCTATGACCTTTTCCATAGCACCCACGGGATGGGTATGGGGTCCACTACCACCCACGGGATGGGTATGGGGTACCACCCACGGGATGGGTATGGTCTAACTACCACCCACGGGATGGGTATGGGGTCCACTACCGCCCACGCGATGGGTATGGGGGCCACTACCACCCACGGGATGGGTATGGGGTCCACTACCACCCACGCGATGGGTATGGTGGCCACTACCACCCACGGGATGGGTATGGGGGCCACTACCACCCACGGGATGGGTATGGGGTCCACTACCACCCACGGGATGGGTATGGGTCCACTACCACCCACGGGATGGGTATGGGGTCCACTACCACCTATGGGATGGGTATGGGGTCCACTACCACCTACGGGATGGGTATGGGGTCCACTACCACCCACGGGATGGGTATGGGGGTCCACTACCACCCACGGGATGGGTATGGGGGTCCACTACCACCCACGGGATGGGTATGGGGTCCACTACCACCCACGGGATGGGTATGGGGTCCACTACCACCCACGGGATGGGTATGGGGTCCACTACCACCCACGGGATGGGTATGGGGTCCACTACCACCCACGGGATGGGTATGGGGGTCCACTACCACCCACGGGATGGGTATGGGGTCCACTACCACCCACGGGATGGGTATGGGGTCCACTACCACCCACGGGATGGGTATGGGGTCCACTACCACCCACGGGATGGGTATGGGGTCCACGACCACCCACGGGATGGGTATGGGGTCCACTACCACCCACGGGATGGGTATGGGGTCCACTACCACCCACGGGATGGGTATGGGGTCCACTACCACCCACAGGATGGGTATGGGGGTCCACTACCACCCACGGGATGGGTATGGGGGTCCACTACCACCCACAGGATGGGTATGGGGGTCCACTACCACCCACAGGATGGGTATGGGGGTCCACTACCACCCACGGGTGGGTATGGGGGTCCACTACCACCCACAGGATGGGTATGGGGGTCCACTACCACCCACAGGATGGGTATGGGGGTCCACTACCACCCACAGGATGGGTATGGGGTCCACTACCACCCACGGGATGGGTATGGGGGTCCACTACCACCCACAGGATGGGTATGCCAGTTGCTATCAGTAACCTAGAGTGACAGTGCCCTTGTATGACCCTGAGTGATAGTAAGGCACTCTCTCTCTCCATGCACTCCCACAGTAGTAGGCATCCACCCCCTCCCACCAATCACCACTACCTCCTCCCATGTGAAACTCCTTCCCTCCCACACATCATAATCTTTATCATAAAAATATATTTATTGCATTTATCTACAAAATTTTGCGTAGACTGGGGGCCCAGGAGCTTTAGCTCAACTCTGGAGCTCCATCTAGGTGAATACGTGTTCACGCCCCCCCCTATGAGGACATGTTGTCAACATGTTCCAGGAAGGCGAAGGTATTGGGCAACAGCTTCTGGCTAGTCACCTTGTTGATATAATGTGGGCGAGGGAATCGTAACATGGACGAGGCAACCCACAACGTGGCTGCCAATTAGGTGCCAATCTCTTAACTGTTCGCCCCTGTTCACCCAGCAGTAATTGGGCACGTGGTTGTTAACTGATTGGCGGGTTGTGTTCCAGGGGGGGGGAACTATGGCAAGGGAAAGGTCTACATAAGCCTGCTAACAGGTGTCAGAAGTACTCTGTTCTTGTAAAATACAAAATCTCTGTAAAATACAAATGTGTAAAACAGAAATGTGTAAAATACAAATGTGTGCAATAAACATCTTCTCTTCACTAGCAATATAATCATTGCCTGTCTCGTATTTTCTCTTTATATTCACCTCTTTCTCTTCTCTCTTCTCATTCTAATAAGTCTTCACATTTTAATAGTGGACAAGACATTCTTGACACTAGAAGCAGTGTCAGCTACAGTTGACTGACAGTCGAGCAGACAGCTCGATATATATTTTATTTTATTTTATTTTATTTATACATATACAAGAAGGTACATTGGGAATGTGAGGATACATAATATGGTAATTACAATCTTGTAAAGCCACTAGTACACGCAGCGTTTCGGGCAGGAAACACACACATTGACACGAAACATTGAGTGCCAGAGCAAAGAGACGGCCTACATTCCAACAGAGGAAGCAGACAAAGAGACTAACAAAAGAGAGCAGACAAGCAGACTAACAGACGGAGCAGACAATGTGATTGAGAGAAATCACACAACTTAACAAAGACAGTTTACATACAGTCTCATAATTACAGCAGACACAGAAAGCCAACACAATAAGTTTTGTACAAGAAATATAAGTTTAGGTGTATTACAAAGAAACAACTTTTTTTAGAAAGTGGTTTGAAAGCGACAAGGACCCAGCCAACTCATCAGCATTGTGCAAATGCAACACCGTCAGGATGGATTAAAGAAACGAAAACTCATCCAACTCATCATATGCTCATTAAACACATAATGTTTGATATGTAGAGTTCCAAGAGAGAGAGAGAGAGAGAGAGAGAGAGAGAGAGAGAGAGAGAGAGAGAGAGAGAGAGAGAGAGAGAGAGAGAGAGCGAGCAAGGGGAACTTCCCACAGTCATACTAGCAGTAACAACATACTCGAGAGGACAAACGAGTCTATACGCAGCAAACAACGCAATTCAACACAGAATTTGCTTCAGTGAGAAACAGTATGATTGAAGTAACATAAAAAATCCCCCCCCCCCTGATGTTTGTTTAAAGTAAAACTAGTATTATATATATATTTAAACAATTACGGTCTATCGTAAACAGTTGCTCCTGTTAATCGCTGATGATATCTGAACATACATACATACATACATACATACATAA